TTTCGTTTGTAGTAGTATCCATATAAACCTAAGAGTCTTAATCTTCATATTTGCCATAGATATCTACAGACTCTAAGAGGGAGGGTGACAATTTGGGACCCTGAGGAAGACATTGTTTATAAAAGCCTTGTTGTTCCTAGCCTGTATGCTCAGAAGAGATTTCTGTACAAGGGAAGAGGTGCCTAATTCTGAACCTGAACTAATCTTAGAGTCAACATGGATACCTTTCTACCTCCTCTGCTTTATCTTGAAAACAATCCTATTTGGATGACTTGTCATATAGACACTCGGCTGCCATAAATTCCTGGTCTAAAACTTTTTCTTGTGGGGAAAAAAAGGAAGCTTATTTCTCTGTTGCTTGAGAGTAGAGGGCGAAGAGAAAAGGTAGACATTATTTGTATATTGGTTGCTTCTGCTAGGATTCAGAGGGTGGGGACAGGAAAATCCCCAGGATTCTCTGGGGACAAGGAAGGGAAAAAATTAAGAAGAAGTGGTTTGAGAGTTATTTCTCACACTGATAGGAAGTCTAGCAAAAGTTTCAAAAATAACAGCAAGATATTGCATTGATCAAACCTTGAACCTCCTTCATTATAAGAGCATAAGAAAATTATGTTCCATAAATAGTATTTATAAAAGTGCTACACTTGACATAGAGGAGTCATTCGAATTTTTGTGTTTTCACCTAACAAATCATCATCATCATCATCATCATCATCATCATCATCATCATCATCATCCTGCTTCTTTTTTTTTACCTCCCTAGGGAATTGAGGGAGATACAAAATTCTGGTTCTTGTTCTTCTGGAAGCCTTAAACATTGTCAATTGATGTTCAATCAATCAGTCAATCAATCAATCAATCCAAACAGAGCTGGAAGGGACCTTGGAGTCTTCTAGTCCAACCCCCTGCTCAATCAGGAGACCCTATACCAGAGATCGCTAACCTTTTCTGGACCAAGTGCCTATATGCGCACATCAGTGGTGGGTTGCCCCTGGTTTGCACCGATACTATAGAACTGGTAGTAAAACAGGCAGGAGGCTCCGTCCACTGATCCCGACATCATCAAAATGCTTCTGTGTTTGTGCAGAAGAGCGCACACGCGGCCCTGTTGCGAATCAGTAGTAAAGGTAAGTAGAACCCACCCCTGGCGTACATCCATGCCCAAACCCCTCAAATGCAATGCCCGTAACCCCTGTGTATGTGCCCCACCCCCATGCATGTGCAAATGGGGGCCCGCATGTGGCCCGACCCCTGTGCATGCGCAGCAGAGACCCAAAGACCAGCTGACCGGTGGGAGGTACGCGTACATGCGCAGCGGAGCTAAACTGGGGGGGATGGCTCAAGTGCCATCAGAGAGGGCGCTGCGTGCCACCTCTGGCATCTGTGCCATAGGTTCGCCATCACAGCCTTATACCATTTCAGATAGGTGGCTGCCCAGTCTTATATGTTTTTGATATTATCTCTCCATCTTCTTCTAAGTCTGCCTTGTGTTCTTTGACTTTCTCCTCCTTTTACATATGCCTTGTATGGTATGGACTACCACGGTATCCTCTCCAGGTGAGCAAGCCACTTTATTTGCTGTTTTTGTATGTAGTTTAAGATTGGATCTATGCCAATTCTTTCTCTTATGATCTCCTTTCTGATTTTATCTCTTCTGGTCACTCTAGCAGCTTTCCTCAAAGATCTCATTTCTGCGGTGACTAACTTTCATTTATGTTTTATTGTAAGTGTCCATGTTTGGTACTGGTAACATACAGTGGCGATGAATATGCTTTGTATGAGATGCTTCTTTGTACTGATTGGCACTGCCTTATGCTATAGGAATGGAGCCAGCCATCCTAATACTTGGTTTGCCTTACCACATCTTGTGTTGATCTCTTGATGTCATTCATTCTAGCAAACATTATTAATCTGAATTCTGATCCTTTTGCCTTGTTTCCTGTCTGGACTGCTAGGAAGGAAATCTGGTACCATTTAGTTAGTATTAGTGCTGATAGTTGGGGGCTGCCATTTTAAATTTTTCTTGCATATTATTACTTTATATAGATTAAATAGAATAGAATGGAATGGAATGGAATGGAATGGAATGGAATGGAATAGAATAGAATAGAATAGAATAGAATAGAATAGAATAGAATAGAACAGAGTTGGAAGGGATCTTGGAGGTCTTCTAGTCCAACCCTCTGCCCAGGCAGGAAACCCTACACCACTTCAGACAAATGGTTATACAACATCTTCTTAAAAATTTCCAGTGTTGGGGCATTCACAACTTCTGCAGGTAAGTTGTTCCACTTATTAATTGTTCTAACTATCAGGAAATTTCTCCTTAGTCCTAGGTTGCTTCTCTCCTTGATTAGTTCCCCCCCATTGCTTCTTGTTCTATCCACAGGTGCTTTGGAGAATAGCTTGACTCCCTCTTCTTTGTGGCAGCCCCTGAGATATTGGAACACAGCTATCATGTCTCCCCTAGTCCTTCATTAAACTAGACATACCCAGTTCCTGCAACCGTTCTTCATATGTTTTAGCCTCCAGTCCCCTAATGATGCTCTTCTCTGCACTCTTTCTAGAGTCTTAACATCTTTTTTACATCGTGGTGACCAAAACTGAATGCAATATTCCAAGTGTGGCCTTACCAAGGCATTATAAAGTAGTATTAACACTTCACATGATCTTGATTCTATACCTCTGTTTATGCAGCCCAGAACTGTGTTGGCTTTTTTAGCAGCTGCTGCACACTGCTGGCTCATATCTAAATGGTTGTCTACTAAGACTCCAAGATCCCTCTCACAGTTACTACTATTGAGCAAGGTACCACATATAGGTACCTGTGCATTTTGTTTTTCTTCCCTAAATGTAGAACCTTGCTTTTTTCACTGTTGAATTTCATTTTGTTAGATAGCGCCCAATGTTCAAGTCTATCAAGATCCTTCTGTATTTTGAGCCTATCTTCTGGAGTGTTGGCTATTCCTGCCAGCTTGGTGTCATCTGCAAATTTGATGAGTTCCCCATCTATCCCCTCGTCCAAGTCATTGATGAAGATGTTGAAGAGCACTGGGCCTAAAACAGAGCCCTGGGGTACTCCACTGCATACTTCCCTCCATATTGATGTTTTGATTTCTCTTCACTGTCTAGAGTTGCTTGTCTTGCTGTAGTTGTGCTGTAGTAGGTTGAGTGATCAAGCAGAAAACAGTACCCTAATCAAGGAACTACCAAGGAGAAAATTATATCCTACCCCCAACACTCCACAATTTAACCCTGAGCTACATATATTCTATTTCTTGTAAAATGTTTCTTGGATATAAATAAGTATGATTTTAACTCCCTGCTTAAGTAGTTATGAAATTTTTCTTTTTCAAAGCTAATGTTTCCATATAGTAATGATGGCTTTAACACATACACACAAACTTTAACTATGAACAAATTAAATCAAGTCCCTTCTCCTCTTCCAAAATTGATTGAGCAAATTGTAATTCAGCAATCTTGTGCATTTGGAACATCTTTATTTAACCTTTATGTCTTGTGTTGTCTTTGGAAGTGTTGAGTATGGCTTCCTGAGTATATTACACATAGCTTCTACTTGGTGGGATGTGGAAAGCAGAATGTTGGCATGTAAGGGAATTCCTAGGTTAGAGATCCTATGGAATAGCATAAGCATACTTGGTGTAAAGCTGGGCTTTCGTTGCACTTGTGGCATGCTGGCCAAAACATGGCAAAACCAAAAGTTCTTGTTTTTATTTAAACAATGATTTTATTTAATCTTATTTTATTTAAATTGTGTTTAAGGCACTGTTAAGAATAAGCTACCAACTTAATATCCCTATAACTTTTCAAAAATTGTTATGTGAAAGTACCAATTGATTGAAGCTATGAAGACTGAGGAAGCCATGATTGGATGTAGTTGATGAGATCCTCAAAAGAAAAGCAGAAGGTATAGACACCAATGTTTGAAGTGGTAGATACAATTTTGATTTTCACGATGCTACTTGCTTTCATATTTTTAACCTTGGAGGTATCATTGCTGATATACATCATTTCAATGAAATTTTAGCCTTAATTTTCCATGTCTCATATCTTTGATATCATCTTTATGACTTTATATCCATATTTATTGGTGTCATTTTAATTGGACCAATAGCACACTTCCTATTGAGTAATATTGCCTTACAAAGGAAAATATTGCCATTATCATGTTTAAATAAGTTAGAGGCTCTTTTTAGAATGCTTGTATTGGTGTGGTAATCTCATAACTTTGAGTTTAGCTACTTTTTAAAAAAATTAGTACTTTATTTTATTGATTCCAGATAGTTCTATTCCATTACCTAAGCAGGGGTGAAATCCAGCAGGTTCTGACAGGTTCTGGAGAACCGGTAATGGACATTTTGAACAGTTTGGAGAACTAGTAGCGGAAATTTTGAGTAGTTCGGAGAACCAGCAAATACCACCTCTGGCTGGCCCCAAAGTGGGGAGGGAATGGGGATTTTGCAGTATCCTTCCCCTGCCACGCCCACAGAACTGGTAATAAAAAAATTTGGATTTCACCACTGTACCTACAGGTATATAGTGTCTCAAAGTAGCTTAAAATAAAAATATTTCAATGAATATCTAATCTCTGGGATTGTTTATCAATTAAAAATGATAAAAGAATTATATAGTTCAATTTCTATTTTTCTTTAAAAAACACCACCTTTCTGTCACTTAGGAAGGATGATTATTATTGTAACTTCCTTTCCCACATTGCTACTTATTCCCATAAATGTGCACAGAATGGAAACAGATATAAGATTAAGCTTGCAACTTAATGCTAAGATCAGTTGTGCCATTAGAAGAATCGATCAACCTGGTCAGATGGCAGATACCATGAGTCTGTAGTTATCTAGTTGTCTTTCATGAGCACCAGTTTATCCTTCTGCTAGAAGACTATTTTTTTTTTGTCACTGAATAAATCTATATCCTCTAAAGTGATCTGCTATTTGATAGTACAGTGGAAGATGTCAATTTACCTTAGTTTTACAATAATGTCCTTTTTGTAGATGGAGTGAAGGAAGTTCTCTTTATTGTCCTCCCCTCAAAAGATCAAAAGATTTTGTTTTGGCTCTGCACAAAGAAGAAGAACAAGAATTGGGTATCTTTTAGGATCTCCTTTATTTATCAATCAAATTTATATGACTGCCCATCTCACAAATGGGAGAACTAAAGACAGCAATGAAAACATTCTTCAAAAGCCATTAAAACATTAATACATAAATACAAACAAGTTCATGAGAGAAGGCATCAGAATCTTACACAGGACACAACAATGATGCGGGCTCTCTGTTATCTGGAGATCCTCAGGCCTATTGAAAAAACTATGTTTTGAGAGAAGTGAATGATTTTGCCTTCAAAAAACATTATCCGCCCCCTCCCGCAATTGTCTTTCATACTTCGTGGTGCAAAATTCAAGTGAAACAGAGCAGTTTTATGAATTTTCTATCTACAGTTTACTATAGAGTATTTACTTCAGGAGAGTTTATGGTTCTCATGCCATCTTCTGGTCTTTACAAAAGTGGCCAAAATTGTGGAAACCCTTTGGGAAAAGTGTATTTTTGAGGTTTGATGGCTAATAACACCACTTCTTTTGAAGTTTCAAGATAATCATATTCCAATGCTGGAATGGCCAGGTCTTAACTCAATTGAAAATCTATGGAGCCGACTAAAGTAATCTGTTAGTCAGAAGCGACCCAGCAATAAAACCCAGTTAATAGAAGCAATCATTCAATCTTGGTTTCACATTATAACAGCTGCAGAACTAAAAGACTTGGTTCACTCCATGGGAAGATATTGTAAGGCCGTAATTCATGCTAAAAGTTACCCAACTAAGTATTAACTGACATGGTGATAATGTTTGTATATCTCATTTTTTCTATGGTGATAATTTTTGTATATCTCGTTTTTTCTACGTGTTTCACTTTTCTTCTTTATACTGTAACCACTATTCTAATAGCAAATCCTTCATAAAAGTTATTATATTACATTCTTGATTAAATTACCTTTCCATTGATATATAATTTTATGGCACTACTCCCCAAAAAATGGTGTTATTAGCTAGTTTTAGAAAATACACTTTTCCCAAAAGGTTTCCACAATTTTGGCCACTACTGTAGGTGTTTGGCTGCTCAACCTCAATGGACTCTTTCAAGTCACAAAAGGAGAAAGAAGTTTTTATTTATATACCCAGTTATAATTTTTGGAAGTCTTTCTAAGCGCTGTCTGCTTCAGCTGAGAACTTTTTTAAAAAAAATCTCATTACCTGAAGAAATTTAATTGAAGCTTTTGGAATTGTAGTAGAGGCCTTGTTGCCTGGAACAATTATTCTGCTGTCTTTCCCAGCAGTTGTTAATGAATTATATAAGGGATACACTCAGTCAATACTAGATTTTAATATGCACCTGACATATGAGAAGTTGAAATGTATATACTTTCCACACTATGATTTTCCTCATGCATATAATTTGCCAGCGTATCTGGAAACCAAATATGTAATTAGAAAGTCAGAGAAAGAGCTGGAAGGGTTGCCAGAATATTCTGAAGCCAAACTTCACTAATGTCTGCAACATAAAAAAACAAAGAAAAGACAGGACAGCCTTACAATAATTTTCTGCAGAGACAAAGGAGGCATTTAAAATCCTTGCTGTAAATTAAGAGCCATATAAACATGTAGCCATTCTATGCAGTATATCAATACCTTAAAAGATTCTAATTATAATCTAAGCCGTGTCACAAATTCTAAGCTGAATGTAAATCTTCCTTTTTATCGGGCGCTTCTCTTTTTCTCTTGCATGAGAGGATCTGGGTCAGGCTGAAACACAGTTAGTTTGAAGCCAGCGTTTCAGGTTCATTATTTTAACCCCTCCTACTTTCATGTGATTGGATGAGGAATTCTTCCAATTGCCTGTAAGATGTAAAAGTAGCTAGGGAACCAAGGAAAACTCAAAGAGCTGCTTCTACTGTGCTTAAGGAAACCGTACTCCTAAATCCAACATAAAGGAATAGCAGCAACATCTTGCTGTAGACAGCATGACCAGGAATGCATATCATCTACATCGGTCTCTTTAATGCTTCCAAGTTGCTACTTTGGAAAGTGCAATTAGACAGAGGCAGCATCAAATGATGACAAGCAGGTAATTATGACTGGTTTTATAATGATTCCTATATAGTCCTATAGTACATTGAGAAATAGACAAATCCAGAATGATAACATGATATCTACCTTCAGTTGATAAATCTATTGCCCAGGAATGTGGCAAAAATTTTTGCGTCTGACAGCAGCATTTTTTTAAAAAAATAAAATAAATTGAGATTTCTAGATGAAGATGAGCTTGAAATTGGCGGAGGTAGGAAGGCCTTCTTGTTGCTAGAATTTATAGTTTAGGGGTATTTTAAGGAACAAAACTATGTACTGTAAGCCATTTGAATCCAATTTGGTGCATTTAACAAAGACAAAAAGATAACTCTGCATGGAAAGCCACTCATTTCTTTCAAGCAAAATTGAACTGGAGCAGATGAGGAATTAAAAAATGGAGCTATGTATGTTTTTTCATTTTTTACATTTGAACTATAGATGACTTGGTTTTTAATGTATTAGTTTATAGTCATACATTACTATAATATATACTATTTTCTATAAGTGTGGGAAACCTTATAAGAATCTATTGTGTGTAAAATAGTACTTGGGGATTTTAGTCAGCTCATTCTGAATTTGCAAATACATTAACATTACATTATCTGGAGATGTTTGTTTAATTCAGGGGAAGCAAGTTTTTTCAGGACCAAACATACTGGGATTGCCTTATCTTCTCCAGGATGCTGAGATTGTAAAGTACGTGAATATTATTCATTTTATTATTCACTCATATGGTTTTAGTGAAGCCATCACCTAAACAAGCAGCCTTTGATTATTGAATCATGCAAGGGTCCGCTAATATGATTTTCATTGCTCCCAGAACAATATTTCAGGCCAAAGAAATAACCAGAAGCTGGGTAAAAACTCTTTCTCAACAAAAAGTTCAAAGGGGAAAAAAGGCAACAATGTTAACACAAATTACAGTAAATTCCATCAACACCAGAAAGGCCATGTTCCTCTGTACTTCAATATCATCAGAATATGTGTTTTAAAACAACTTTGGATATATTTTCTGATTTTGTTTTAACTGCCACAAAATGTAAAGTTATACATAGCTTTCAATAGGCAAACAATAAATAAGAGAATAAAATATTTTTGGGGGAATAAAAATGTTTTATAATTTCCTTTGATAAAAACCTTATGAAACCTTACAAAACCTATGAGCAGTTCAGAGGATTTACCAAAGCTGTTCTACCCGAGTGGAATTAAAATTCTTTTAAAAACAGCTGAAGATACATACATACCAGAAGAAATAATTCTGGGGCTCCTGCATTTTGGCTGCAAAACTTCAGTGCAAACTAAAATTTAGAATCTCTATTTGTCTCTGGTGCTATCTAGTGGCTGTCGGGAGTATTGCAGCCCAGATGTGTCTGTGTGAAAAGCTACAATATACAGTAGTCCTCCAGTGGTGGGTTGCTCCCGGTTCAGTCCGGTTCAGTGGTGGGTTCCAACCAGTTTTACCACCAGTTTGCATCGCGCATGTGCTTTGCACGCGCAAGCGCGCAAGCACATTGAGTAAAAATGTGGCAATCCACTCTGCCGTGCCTTACAGCTGAGCTAAAAACAAAAGAAATAAAGGTAGGTATGGCACGGGGGCAGGGGGGAGGGCCCAACCGACATTTGGAGTGAACCGGTTCACTCTCCTATCAAGATTTCCGCTACCGACTCTACCAAACTGGGGAAAACCGGTAGCAACTCACCATTGGTCCGGTTCTTGTGAACCAGTAGTAATGGCGGTGGGAGGCTCCGTCCACCTGCCCTGACATCATCACTGATGATCTGCGCATGCGCAGAAGCTTCTGCACATGTGCAGAAGTGCACACGAGCGAAGCAAGCACGCATGCACGCTCCCATTGCGAACCGGTAGTAAAGGACCCCTGTAGTCCTCAATATGTTTCCAAGTTTGCTACTGATGAGAAACAAAGTTGAACAAAAACTGCAGAAACGGCTAGACATCTAGAAAGAATGTCATAAATGAAATGAACCTTCCCAACCAATCTAATAAAAATAAATTATGCCCCTTCACAACCCAATGAATCTTTAAAATGACCAATTACAGATAGCCCTCAACTTACAACGGTTCATTTTAGACCATTTGAAGTTAGAATGGCACTGAAAAAAGTGACTTATGACTGGTTTTCACACTTATGACTGTTGCAACATCCCCAGGGGCATGTGATCAAAATTCAGACTCTTGGCAACTGATGCATATTTATGATGGTTGCAGTATCCTGGCTCATGTGATCATCTTTTGCAACCTTCTGACAAGTAAAGTCAATGGGGAAGCCAGATTCACTTAACAACCATGTCACTAACTTAACAACTGAAGTGACTCATTTAACAAATGTGGCAAGATATGTCATAAAACGGGACAAAATTCATTAACTGTTTCACTTAGCAACATAAATTTTGGGTTCAATTGTGACTGTAAGTCAAGGATTTCCTGTAGGAGAAATTTCATCACACTGCTACATCATTGAGGCAGAAATGGTAACAATATTAATTTGCCAACATTAACATTCTGATTTCCGAATTTTAACTACATGAAGAATTGTTACTTCATGGGAACTTTAGCTGTGATTTGGATTTGTTTTATTCTGAACCATCCTGGAAAACATTAGATTCAAAGTCAGACAAAATATCTAAAATTAAAGGCATGCAGTTAACAGAAGTAGTAATCATCAAACCACAAGAGATCCAGATGTTATGACTTTGTTTTCCACTCATTCTCTGTAGCTTAAAGTCAGATTTTAGGGGATAATTAAGTTAATCTTGTCAGGGCAGTGAAGAGGCCGACTGCGATCCATTTTAGTTTATCATCATTCAAAGCCATACAATGACTGTGGTGAATTTGGCAAGAGACCATGAGGTAAAAGCTTTCATTTTTCTGATTTCAGACATTCTATTTGGCCTCTTTTTTCCCTTGCTTTTCACTACCTTTTATACAGTAAATCTGGTGCTAATTGGGAAATAAAAGATGAAGTAGCAGCATCTGTGAGTGGGCCCTTTGCCTGTGATGGATGCTCTTTGGCTCCATAGGTGTTAAAAGTCTTTTAGGCAAGAAATACTTTGGCATAGTTAATGCATCATCTATACAGGGAAATGTAAATAAACCAGTTCTGGTGTTACATAAGTAATTCCAGTATTTAAGGAATGCTGCATAGCTCAGAGAATGGTAATTGTGTGGGGCCACACAAGGTGAACTTACATCAATCTTAATAGTAACCCTTCCATCAATATATCTGACATTCAGGGTTTTTTTTTTTCTTAAAAGTGTTTGACTTAGCTTTTTACAGATGCTTTATCATTTAAGAAACTATTAAGACTTGGAACAAAATCAACTGGGAGATTGCTTTTAATGTTTCCACTTAAATCAGATCAGCAGTGGAGGGATACAACATGTATAAGAGAATTGCCTACTGAATTATATCCTTTTAAAAAGTAAAATTCTGTTACTTTAATATTCATGTAACAGCTATAATTCCATTTTATAACCCCTTCAAAATTTTATAACAGTATATTTGATGCACATTGGACGATATGAATGGTATTTGTTGCAACATTCTTTTGAATGTATTTGTTGCAATATTCTGTTCTATGCAATAAACATTCTTACAGATTGAATGGAGACTAAATGTGCTGCTTTTAAATCCGATTTAAAATAAGTGTGTAAAATAATTCATGAATTATATTCCATTGATGGTACTAATAACCAAATGCAATAATTTATCTTATATTCAGTGAATCATGATTTAATCATGTCTTTTTTTAAAATCAAATTTTTATTATTTTTAAAAAATGTATACTTATCATTGTGTGAATGGCGAAATGTTTGATTTAATAATATCTTGAAACTGCAGAAAATGTCACCAGTCAGGTAGGAACACTTTCTCTATCCTGAAGAAATCAAACAAAATAAAGGGAGAAATCTCACATATTACATTAAAATTAAATATAATTTTGGAAGAAAAAAACAGTGCATGTGCTGTTGTCAAAACATTGTTAAGGATATTTACATATTTAAAAAACCATTGCAGTACTTGAAGCTAAGCATTTAGAAAATATGTTCCTTGGATGTAACAAACTGTTTAACCTGCATGACAAGCCCGAAACAGATTGTGCTCTTGTGAGTAAAATGATTGCTCAGCCATTTGAGACTTGAATAGCACTGGCAATTCCAAGCTGTGATTGCCAGCCGAAAATTGGCTCAGCATCAGTGCACCTCCTCTACATGGCTCCTTTCACTACTTTTCACTGGAGGACGGTTGAGTGCAACTTTTAACATAATCACAGTGTTTTGGAATGCTTTTGGGCAGAAGATAGTTCTGAGCAGGTCTGAAATTAAACTAATTTGAAAGAGGAATTTGCAGACCAACTTAAAGCCAATGACGAAAACGTACAGTGCCTGTGTAACTCTATCCTTATGAGGGCAGAAAAATATATAAGGTATGAAATTTGCTGCCTCCTGTTCTGTTCGTTTTGACTCCCTGCTGAATGGTGCAGCCCTGATTATGGATAAACAACATGTCAACAGCAATGGGATTAGCTGCAGGATTCTCTTCATTGTCTCTAGGTTTCTTCTTTCCTCCCTTCTCCTGTTCTGTCATAGTTTGAACCAGTAGTGGGTTTCAGTCACTACTGGTTTGCTCGCAGGCATATGCATGCTCACACACGCGCACAACACTTCTGCACATGTGCAGAGACGTCTGGGTGGGTGGGCGGAGCCTCCTGCCACCGCTA